CGGAGCGGGTGCCGTGTGCGCGGTCGCGCGTCTCCGGAAGCTCCTGGCTTCCAGGGTGGCCCCGTGTGGACGTCGCGTCTAGGCCGTCTGGGTTCGTCCTAGCAACAGAGTTAGCAGGAGATGCGGGGAAAACGGGCGGTAGCGCGCTTTTGGCCTAGGCCGTTGCGAGTTCCCAGGGCCGCCTCCGACTTCGTGCCGTCGCCCGCTCTGCACCCGGGCGTGCAGGAGAGCTCGACGTTTCGCGGCCAGCCGTTTGGACCGTCGTGTGGCCTCGGTGACAAGCCCGGGCGGCACGAGTCACACGTGCCCGGGCCTGGCGAGCCCTCCTGCCCGCGGCTCTCCCAGCAGAGCTGGGCTGCCGTCTCCGTCGGGTGACACGGTCTTCAGAATTTACGTATAGCTCTCTTTTCTTGTTTCCTTCTTTAGCGTTTTCGGAGTTTTTTAGGGAAAGAAGGTGGAAGTTGAGACGTGCCGCAGCTGGCATGGGCGAAGGAAACCACCGTCCCTCGATTTTTGAAAGATGTTCAGACCTCAAAGTTGGGCCTTCGGCCGGTAGCTTCTCGGAATCCGGATCTTGCTTTAGGCGGTCTCTTAGTGGTTTTGAGAATTTTCTGTCTCTGTCCACAGTCCTCTCTCCTGTCGGTCTGTTGTATGGGCACGTTTTGGGACAGTCGGGTTGAAGTTGGCGTTCAGTGTCCTAGACGCTGTTTGCTGGATGGTTAAAAATACAGAAGGTAACGACTGGACCCCAGCGTTGTCGGTTTCTTAGCAGAAATGATAGGAGAACCGCAGAGGGAGTAAGGAACAGGTGGGGCCGGCCTTTTGATAGAGGAAGTCTATTTACATTAAGAATGCATCCCAGGCCGGGTGGGGTGGCTCCCACCTCTCATTTCGGCACTTTGAGAGGTCAAGGCAGCAGGATCGCTTGAGCCCAGCCTAGATAACATAGCGAGACCTCATCTCTACAAAAATCAAAAAATTAGCTGAACATGGTGGTGTGCGCCTGTAGCCTCAGCCATTTGGGAGGCTGAGGCAGAAGGATCTCTTAAGCCCAGGAGGTCTAGGCTGCTGTGAGCCATGATGGTGCCACAGCACTCCAGCCTGGGGAACAGAGACCTTGCCTCGAAAAAAGGAAAAAGGGACATGTAGTCCTTTGTAAATGAGGATATGGTAAGAGCTGTGCTTTTCTTTTTGCCTTTGACCTTTGCTGGAATTTACCAAAATAATGTCAGTTTAGGCATTGGAGTCTGCTTTTTGTTTTGTGAGTTAGAATTGACCCACATATTCATGTCTGGTCTCTTATGTCTCAATATAACTGAGCAGATGTTTTCTATATGATAAACAGTGTCACTGAGTATCTTTTTTTCTTTGTTTTTTTAAACAGGGAATCATGGATCAGGTGATGCAGTTTGTTGAGCCAAGTCGGCAGTTTGTCAAGGACTCCATTCGACTGGTTAAAAGATGCACCAAGCCTGATAGAAAAGGTAATAACTTTAACATGATAGAAAAAAATTAAATGTTTGCATTTTCTGAGCCTTTGATTAACGTCTTCCTGATAACCACTGTGTAAGTTTCATCAACTTTTTTTATTATTTTGCTTTTTTTGACATCTCATCTTCCTAAATTTTGTGCACACTCTTGTCTACATTTTTCTGTCTCATTTTTTCCAAATGGTATAAGGTTATTTATTGCAACCTTATTTCCTAGGTTACATTTGTGTTAGTCATATTTTATGATTTTAGATTTTTTAGTATTTTACATTTTTCCACTTGGGAAAATCTTTGAAGTCCTCCCTGCTCTGCCACCACACCAATGAACAAAATTAACATGAAAGTAACCATATAGTTGTCATCCTAGAAAGATTATCATTTACATGATTCATGTGTTCAGAGATGTACTAGAATTTGTCTTTTTTTATTCATTCATTGAATTCGGAGCTGAGAATACAATAGAAAATACAATATATGTAATATGCAAATAAATATGTATAAGTATAACAGGTGATAGTCTTTGCTCTCATGGAGCTTAGAATCTGTCAGGGAAGATCAGTGTAAACAAATAGTTGCGATTACTGCTGTGGTAAGTATTATGGAAGATGACTAGAAGGAAGTTTGACGGTATGCAGTAGGATTAAGTCAGGAGATCAGCAAAAGCTTCCCTGAGGAAATAACAAAAGTGAAACATTATGAGGATCTGGAGACTTTATAAAATTGTATTCTACCCAATTTGATTTTTCAGGCCATATTTTTGACTTCATCATAGTATCAGAGACACTGGATCAGTTGTTTATAATGTACCGAAAAAATTGTTTCTGTTCCTATAATATCTTACCATAAAAATTGTATTACATTAAATTTTAAGAAAAAGACTCTCTTTCATGTTTTTTTTTTTTTTTTTAATTCTGGTCACTTACTACAAAGATTGACTGTTTTCAGCAATTGTTGATGACTTCACAAGCACAGACGGTTGTTTGTATGTTTTCTTAAATAGCAACAAAATTTGGAAATTTAAAGACCTGTCAAATAAGTTGTTTACTATTAATCTCATTTTTTTCTTTTAAAAAAATTACTTTTCTGCTAATCTGGAGAAGTATATAATAGTAAGTGTATTGATGCTACTGATAGTTTTTCCCTCAAACTTTAAGTGACAGCACAAAAAAAGCCCATAAATTTTTTGTTTTTAAATGCAGAATTCCAGAAGATTGCCATGGCAACAGCAATAGGATTTGCTATAATGGGATTCATTGGCTTCTTTGTGAAATTGATCCATATCCCTATTAATAACATCATTGTGTAAGTAAATGTTATGAAACAGACTATATATATAGGGTTGAATGAAAATTGAAACATGAATTGATCATTAACTTTCTGTTTCATTAATACACAGATATGTCTCTTAACTTTTTAGTGTGTTTCCAGTCTACTGATACTTACTGATCACCTGATAAATCAGGGTGATTTTAGATCTCATACAATCCTTACAGCAACTCTGTAGGGACAATTTTCTTTTAAATAAAAGTTTGTAGGGTCAAGAAAGTAAGTTAAAGGCACTCGATGTCACAAAGCAAGTATTCAGTGACAACCAGTTTTCAAATTCAAGACCTCTGTATGCTCTATCTTGTTGACTTTTAAGGTGCAGAGGAAATGTCTTCATCTGAAAATCACTATTGTGATTGAGTTCTAACTCTGGATCAGATTTCCTAGATTCAAACCATTGTTCTTGTTACTCAGAAATTGTCATAACTTGGGACAATTTGCTTAGCCCCTCTGTGTCCAGTTTACTCAGAGGATAATAGTTCTTTTTTTTTTTTTGAGTTAGAATCTCACACTGTCACCCAGGCTGGTGTGCAGTGGCACACTGTTCAGAGCCATTGCAGCTTTGACCTGCTGGGCTCAGGCGATCCTCCTGCCTCAGCCTTTCAGGTAGCTAGAACCACAGGCATGTGCTACCATACCTGGCTATTTTTTTTTATTTATTGTAGAGATGAGGTCCTGTCATGCTGCTCTGGCTGGTCTCAAACCCCTGAGCTCAGGCAGTCCTCTCGCCCCTGCCTCCCAAAGTGCTGGGATTACAGGCTTGAGCCATTGTGCCCGGCCGAGGATAGTAGTTCTTACTTGGATTTTGATGAGAGTAAGGCCCTAAAAAACAGTTTGTATGAGAACTTAAATTAAAGTTGTTGGAATTGTAATGAGCCATTGATAAATGATGGGGCATTGTAACTTTTATAGGTGTATTAGAGAGGAGGAGAAAAGGAGCAACACTGAAGCTACTTTATTCTTTTCCAGATGTTTTTTGCTTTTTTGTAATATTTGTATTCATTTAGTCTCTCAGCCTCATCTGCTATTTGGAGGTAGAAATATCTATTAGACTTATTTTATGGAGTGGTGAAATTTGAAGCAATGATTTAAAAAAAACTTTCTAAGCTGTAAATTTCTTAAATACTAGGTATTTTATCACTGATAACTAGTGGAGGTTGTCTTTCAAGTGACAAGTGACTTAATTAATAATCAGAGAGATTTCTTAAGTAGATTACCACGGTTAGTGAGCACAAGTGCCACAAGGTGGTATTTAGAATCACAAAGAGTTAGGGCTGGATGACATCAAGTCACTGCAATCTCCTCTGTGTGAAACCTCTTTTATTTTACTAGTGAGAAATGCCAGCTGTGGAGTTGTGGACTCAGAGAGAGAACGCTGAAGTGTAGGATTAGGAAAGCTGAGACTGTCTCTGGGCTGCCATTGCCTGGCTGGTAAAGAGAAGAACTGGAGCAGCCTCGGGCCCCTTCTTGTTCCTACTCAGTGCTTTTGCTCTCTTGCTTCCCATTCCATTCTGAGATGGGTTTAATTGATACGAATTATTTCTTTAAATCGATGCGAAGTTAGTTTCCCGGGCTAATCGCCTCTCGTTTAGTCTCACCCTCCAGAACAACATGTGAGCTTGTGTTTCCAATCTTTTTGGATTCAAGCACCGTTTAAATTTTCCCCCAGCCTTCATTCAGCACTATATTTATGTCTCTGCTGCCAGACATCACTGTTTGCCTTAGCTCACACTTAGATGGGTCTGTCAGGTTAGGTTATGAGTTCTGAGGAAAGCATGTTTTGTTATTTATATTATGTATGTGTATGTATCTGTCTTCTGTAGAACTCTTTGCATCTATTAGAAGCACTGAATAAGTGATTGCTGAATTAAGTGAACAACTTCAGATTCCGAGCCTTTTTCTTATGGTGATGATGGTAATAATAATAATAGCTAGTATTTACTGAGAACCTTTCATGTGCCAGAGACTATTCTGCTGTATGTGAGTTGACACATTTAATCTTCATGAAGAAGCTGAGGCATGCATGACTAGTAAGTGGCAGAGCCACATATGAACTTTTTGGAAACTAGTTGCTTAGAACATTTTTTTTCTGATTAAAATTGTTTGGGGCCAGGTGTGGTGACTTGTATCTGCCTGTAATCCAGACTCTTGGCAGACTGAGGCGGGAGGATCGCTTGAGAACAGCTTGAGCAACATAGAAAGACCCTGTCTCTAAAAAAATAAAGGAAAAAGAAAAATTATTTCAGGTTTAAGGAGATGAAAATCTGTCCTAGTTATTTTTTACCTTAAAGTGAAGACCAATTAAAACATTTTGTTGGAAAAGCAACAGAAAACTTACTCTTTTCATGTTGTGCCGTGGCATTATAAAACTCAGAGATACCTTTTTTCCCCCTTTTATTCCTACTTGAAAGAGCATAAATCACTGTTTAAGTCAATTTGAGATGGTAGCTAGAGAACTGTAACTTCAGACTTCTCTTTCATTTAATTGAATTATCACTTTTTTAAATTATTTTTTTCTTTATATTTATAGCAGACAAAATTCATATCCACAGTCTTATAATTTAAAGGAGTTATGCATTTGCTGGTATTTTATTTACCGCAATACTTAATAACATAAACACTTAAAACAGTTAACATTAAAGTGTATTTTCAGGGATATTTTGTAATTATTTTTATTTAAAGTGACAGGAATAAAATGTATATCTGACCATACAGTTTTAATGTTTATGCTTTTAAAACAACTGTTCCGTAGAAAATACAATTTTTTGTTTCCATTGTGCTTAAGCTAGGGTTTTAAGTGACTGTAAGATACAGTGATTGAGAACCATTGTGTTCATCTGCAGGCATTATTTTCACCTGGTTTGTCTACTGTGTGTCACATGGAAAAGCTTCTCAGAGATCCATCCCATCATATGACTCATATTTTTGGTCATGTTCAGAGAGACATTCTGCTATACTTTGCCAAAATGGCATTTCCCAAATGAGCATTGTGAGTTTTAAAATACGCCTGTTCCAGTAACCACGTCATCTCTGAGGAACTTCAGTTCCAAGATTTTAACCCTTTACCAATATTTGGAAAAAAGAAGTGTGGCTCGCCACACTTCATTTAATTTTACATAAACAACACTCTTTGAGGCTGAAGCAACTGACTGGTTTTCAATGTGAAGATAAAGTATAAAACCTGGAGTGCTATCTAAACAGAACTTATCTCAAATCCTAATGAGAATTACTGGAAAAAAAGGAATTTATTGTATTTTTAATTCTTTTCCCTTTTTTTTTTTTTTTTAATCTCATGCTAAATGCCACAGCTGGTGAGTAAGTTTAAGCAGAGACAGAGTTAAAGTCCACTGTGCCTTTAATGCTGTCTTGGAATAAAGTTAGGTGTGGCTCACAAATAACTGATTTTGATTCTATAACATTTGGCATAATGTATTTCAAATAATTATTAAAATCTTATATGTGCTCAAAAATGACCTTTTTTTTTTTTTTCCAGTGGTGGCTGAATACGTTTTGGAAGAGTATTTGCATCTTAGGATCTGTGAACCAGTGAGGGCTTGAGAAGCTCAAGGAGTAATGTTGGCCTATGTTTGTTTTTCTTCCAAGATGTTTTATATTTCTAAATTAAAATAATTACAAAGTAAACAAACTTCTCTTTTTTTTCCATTGCCAATATGTTACATTTTCACCCTTTGCACTAAGAGACATCTGGTGGATCATCTATCCGCAACGTGACTGCACTTTTTTTTGCAAAATAGTGAAAAACAGAATCACTTCATATTAACCCTTTGTACTTGGATGTCCCTTCTGTGGGGACATTATAAATCTAGCAAACCACTTGGATTTCCCCTCTCAGGGGACATAAAGAGATTGCTGGTGATTATACAGGACAGACTTATGCAAGTGCAAATTTTTCAAAAATGTGTGGTTTCTTGAAATTTTCCATTAAAAAATAATGATAAACCTATGTCCCATTTGAAATTTTTCAAGCTTCTGATTGATCAGTTAAGTGGCTATCGGGAATCATGAGTGTGTCCTTCTACATCTTCAAACAACAGACTGAATGATAAATTACATTAGTGTGGGAGAAAGAAAATGGGACTGCATTGTCTGCTCAAACAGGAGAACACTACATGGAAGACGTCAAACAAATTACTATTGCCCAGCATGTATCAGTGAACCTGCAATACATGTTGGTGACTGTTTTACATATTACCACATGCTAGGAAAATATAAAATTTTAATTTTTTTTGTCAAATAAGTTCTTCAGTGTCCAAAATTCTGTTATAAGCCAAATACCATTACAATAAGATAATTGGTTCCAATGCTGTTCTATTTAATATAAAGTGATTCGTTTTTCACTATTTTGTAAAAATAAGTGATTGAGTTGCTGGTAGGTGATCTGGGGTCTCTGGATATAGAGGGCTAAACAGCATAGCATTGGAACCAATTGTAATAGTATTTGGCTTATAATGAATTTTGGACAACTAATTTAGACAAAATTTTATATCATTTTTCTAACGTGTGGTAACGTATGAAACAGTCACATGCTTTTCTGTTTCACTGATACATGTGCAATAGTAGTTTATTTGATGTCTTCCACCTGGTGTTTTTCTATTCTAGCAGGCAGTGCAGTCTCGTTTTCTTCCTCCCACATAAGTAATTGTCTATTCTGCACCACTGTGAAAGCACTTCACACATTCTTTTTTTTTTAAATAATATTTTATTTTAAAGATGTGGGTTACAATTCAAGGTTAGGTATACAAATGTTCGTTATGTGGGTACTCTTTATTAATGAGGTGTGCCACACCCCCACCAGCTGTTTCCCACTACTGCCACTCCCTCCCCTTGCCCTCTACTTTCCACTACTGCAAATCCCTTTTTTTAATAGTATTGTGATCGTTGTTCAAGGTCCACTTATGAATGAGTACATGTGATACTTGGTTCTTTGTTTCTGTGATACATCACTCAGTATTATAGCCTCTAAGTCCGTCCAAATTGCTGTGAAGTTCATAATTTCGTCTTTATGGCTGCGTAATATTCCATCATGTTTATTTACCACATTTTAAAAATCCAGTCCTCTTTCAATGGGCAGCACAATTGGGCCTGTGTTTTTGCTATTGTAAATTATGCTGCAGTAAACATGCACATGGAGGTATCTTTTTCATAAAGTGATTTGAGTTCCTCTGGGAATTGCGGGGTCATGTGGGAGGTTGATGCAGGGATTGCGGGTCGTATGGGAGGTCGAATTCTAGATCTTTTAGGAATCACCAGGCTGTTTTCCACAGAAATTGTACTAGTTTACACTTCTATCAACAATGTAGAAGCATTCCCTTTTCCCCACATCCACTCCAGCATCTGTTGTTTTTTGAGTTTTTGATGATGGCCATCCTGACTGGTGTTAAGTGGTATCTCTGTGTGGTTCTAATGTGCATTTCTTTGGTAGTGACTAATGAGGCTGAGCATTTTTTCATGTATCCACACATTCTCTTTCTGTGTAATGCCAGCTGATTTTTTTTTTTTTTTTTTTTTTATGTATACCTCAGTGTGTATTCCATCTCTTGTTTGCTTTTTCATGCAATTTGGAAAATTTCAAGGAAATAATTATTTGAAAAATTTGTGCTGGCCTAAGTTTGTCCTGTACAATCACAAGCATTCTTTTTATGTCTCCTCAGAGGGGCATCCAAGTGGTTTGCTAGGTTTACGACGTCCCCTCCGAGGGGATATCTGAGTGCAAATGGTTGATAGAAAATTGATTTTTTCCCTTTCTTTTTTGAGTATTTTGGCTTATAGGAGAAAGAAAAAGTCTTGCACTTTCTGTGTGCTCTTCTTTCATTGTCTGTGCTACTACAACAAAATGCCTGAGACTGGGTAATTTATAAAAAAGAGAAATTTCCTCTTGATTTTGGAGATAGGGAAGTTCATGATCAAGGCCAGCAGGTTCAGCATCTGGTGAAAGCCCAGTCTTTCCTTGTAAGATGGTGACTTAGACACTGTACCCTCACATGTCAAAAAGGACAGAAAGGCAAAAAGGGCAAATGGCTGTGTGAAGCATCTTTTTAAGGGTCTTAATCCCATGTATAAGGGAGGACCCTTATGACCTAATCATCTCCTGAGGTCCCATTGCTTAATACTGTTGCATTGGAGATTAGATTTCAGCATAAACTTTAGAGGGACACAGACATTCAAACTAACATTTTCTATCAGATAATAGTTTTCCTATGATTGAAGAAGAAACAGCAAGTAAAAGATGGTAGATACAGTGAACTATTTGAGGGTATGGTAGGAGTTTGTTTTATCCATACACATTTAAATTGTGAATATGTTGTTAAAGTTAACAAAGTTCTACTTGAAATAACTTCCTGAGAATCATTATTGAACATTATTTCCCTAGATCTAATTTTTGTTTGTTTGTTTGTTTTTTGTTTTTGAGTTGGATCCTCACTCTCACCCAGACTAGAGTGCAGTGGCCACTCCGGGCCACCGCAGCCTCGACCTGCCGGGCTCTGGTGATCCCTCCGCCTCAGCCTTTCAGGTAGCTGGAACTACAGGTGCGCACTACCACGCCCGGCTAATTTTTGATTTGTTGTAGAGATGAGGTCTCGTCAAGGTACCCAGGCGGGTCTCGAACCTGCAGGCTCAGGCAATCCACTCACCTCGGCCTCCCAAAGTGCTGGGATTACAGGCTGAGCCACTGAGCCCGGCCTAATTTTTTTTTTTAACAACTTGATAGGCAGCACACAGGGTAAATGTTCTCTGGTTTTCAGTGAAAAAGATAGGCACATGTCTAATTACTGTGGCTGGGCAGTATTCATCAGTTTCAGGATCCGTGGTTCAAAGTTTGTTTTCATAGTAACAGATTTCTGTCATTTTTGAAATGCTAATAGTGTTTTAATCTTAAATGAATTGATGTCTTCAAAGAATTAAGAATACAGTGATGTCTTACTCATCTCCAATCGTAAGGAGATCTTTTGCGTCTTAAAGGCCAAAATGTGTATGTGTGTGTGTGTGTGTGTGTGTGTGTACACATATATGCATGCATGTGTATAGGAGCCTTCATAGACTAATTTCTTACACAGGAAAGAAATAGATCTATCTTAATAACCTTACTGCTTGCATAATAGGAGCTGTACATTTCTGTCATAAAACTACTTCTTAAACTTCAGCATGCATATAGCACAACAGTAATGTCCATCTTGTAACAGTTCTGCCACGAACTCTTCATTGCAAGCAAGTCCTTTGCTACCTGATCCACCAGCCTAAAATCTACTTTAACAACCAAAGAAAGATCAACAGAAGAAACAAGGAAGGAGACAGTAGTAATACAGATAATGGAAGAGTCTTTACAGGGAGAGTAGGAAATACAGGTTGCTGCCTATTTCAGTTGCTTTGTTACTGTTGGAAGTCATCACCTTACTCCAAAGTCTCTCTTTGGGTCGTTTGTCTCCCATTTGTTGGAAAGATTTTGTAGGGAAAGGTACTTCATTAGCCAGAGTGTGAAGGTGCCATTGTGTTTACACTTTAGCTTCCACTTAAAATGATCTCACTTCTGCCTCTAAGACCAAAATCATGAATTTCGCAGCAACCTGGATGGAACTAGAGTTTATAATACTGAGTGATCTCTCACAGAAAGATCTGAGTATCACATGTTCTCACTCATAAGTGGACCTTGAACATCTATTGTAATACTATAAGAAAAGGATTGACAGTGGCAGGAAACTATGGGGAGGGGAAGGGAGGTGGGATTAATGGTAGTCAATATCTGGGGATGGGGAGACACCCCTTATCAACAAGGGTGCCTGAACGATGCATATTTGTATACCTAATCCTTAACTGTACCCACAATTTAAAATAAAAATTACGTTTAATAAAAAAAAATGGAAAAAAAAAGTTACACGCTGGTCATAGTTTTATGCTCTAGGAACCTCGATTTGCTTCAGAGTTACACACTGGTCATAGTTTTTTTTTCTAGAAATCTCAGTTCTGCCTGTTAGTTACATGCTGACCATAGATAGTTCTGTGCTGTAGAAATCTCAGTTCAACCTCTAAGTTACATGCTATTCATACTTTTGTTCTCCCAAAATTTGGTTCTGCCTCTGAGTTACATGCTGGTCATAGTTTTGTGATCTATCCTGCGCCTTTGGGAGGCTGAGGTGAGTGGATTGCCTGAGCCCATGGGTTCGAGACCCCCCTGGGCAACTTGACGAGACCTCATCTCTACAATAAAAAAAAAAAAATCAGCTGGGCATGGTATCACGTGCCTGTAATTCCAGCTACTCAAGGCTGAGGCGGAAGGATAGCCGGAGCCCAGCAGGTTAAGGCTGTGGTGGTTGGGAGCGGCCACTGCACTCCAGCCTGGGCGACAGGGTGAGACTCCAACTCAAACCCAAAAAACAAAACATAGTTTTGTGCCCTAAAAATCTTGGTTCTACCTTTGAGTTACACATTGGTCATAGTTTTGTGCCCTAGAAATCTTAGTTCTACATCTAAGTTACACACTGGTCATAGTTTTATTCTCCAGAAATCTCAGTTCTACCTCTAAGTTACATGCTTGTCATAGTTTTTTTCTCTATAAATTTGACTGCTACTTCTTAGTTACATGCTGGTCATAATTTTGTGTTCTGGAAATCCCAGTTTGCCTCTCA